TCATACCCGTACAATGCCTGCCTATTGAAGACAGTCCCGGTACCAACATACACTGGTCCTTGGATTCCATCTAGGCCTTTCATGTTGATCTATAACCGACAGAATCAAACAGTGAGTTAAAATTGAGAGAAACGAACCACTTTGTTAAATCTATAAATATGTTTGTCAAAATCACTTACATCAAAGAACACAGTGTTTCTATTGGCGTATCTATCGTGAAGATCAATACCGTCAAATCTTTGTGGAAACTGAACGTAGCAGAGCTTCTTTCCCAGCTGAGGATCCATTAGAAAGCACATAGCCTCCCTTAAGGCCTTGCTATTGTTGATGTAGTGATCACAATCCAGATTCAACATGAAAGGTGCATTTGAAAGCACTGCAGAAACTCGAACCTGTAAATCAAAAACATCAATGATCCAAACTTATAACATTTTTTGAGTGCATGAATTGAGTTTATTCAATCAATATAATTGATAGCCACTCACCAGAGCGTTCATGGCACCTGCTTTCTTGTGATGTTGATAGCCGGGACGTTTCTCACGAGAGATATACACAAGACGTGGCAATTCCTTACCTTCCACATCTAGTGCACCACCACTTCCCAGATAAACCTGCAAAATAATGTAAAAAGTGAGCCAACCAAATCATCTACTATCTCGCTTGTTTCAACTACAATATCTAATCCTTCATTAAAAGAAAATGAGGGAATCAACTAGGAAATTGAAGGAACAAGCTTCAATCATGATGAAAATCAAATTATTAACAGTTTTAACTTCATAATAAAAACTAGCTTGTTCCATCACCAAATACTTCAATTTCAATTAGTAAAAGAGACCTTCAGATAATATATATAAAAAAAAAAGAAGAAGAAGAAGGTTTCCAGTGGCCAAAAAAAGGTTAACTCGAGCGATTTCAATAATTGGGTTCATTCATATTCCAAATCCTACCATAACATTCATGCACATTTTCTTTAATTTTGACATTCTGTCAAAATTTTATGTTACAGCAGAACAAGGCCTAAAAATCACCCAAAGCCTTATTCTTTTTTTCCCCTGGTAAAAACTCATACACATATCATAGTAAGAATACAGAGAAGAAATGATGATCTGATAATCAAACCTGAATCATGCCAGGATGATCACGAGTGTTGTTTCCAGGCCATGGCGTCCCATCCTGCATCACCCACCCATCCTCCGGCTTCTTTTGAGCCTTCGCCACCAGCGCGTTAATCCTCACCTTGAACTCCTCATATTCTCTCTGCAAAAAAGGGGAAAAAAATCAACTTTCACCAAAAAGACAAAAAAAAAAATAATAATAATAATAATAAATAAATCTACAATCCATATCTCTCCACTCTCACCTTCATCGCTCTCCGCTCCTTCACGAAGCTCGGATGAACCTTGTCCTTCAAGTAATCGATCTTCTCCGAGAAGTAAAACTCGGGCGTTCTCGGCTCAATATTATGCTTCTTGCAGAACGGGACCCACCGCCGGGCGAACTCAGCAGTCTCCGCCAACGAATCAAACAGCAGCATCGAAGCGCCGTCGTCGGAGACGTAGCAGCAGACCTTATCGACGGGATAATCGACGGAAAGGATGGAAAGAACGGTGTTGGCGGTGATGATGGGAGGCTCCTTGAGAGGATCGACGGTGCTGACGTAGACGTCGACGGGAGAGAGGCGGTTGGGCTCGCCGTCGCGCTCGAAGCGGATGGAGAGGCGGTCGAGGTAGGTCTGGCGAGTGACGGGGCACCATTTGGGGAACTGGTCGAGGATCCAGGAGAAGGCGAACCAGATCTCGCAGATGACGGAGATGAGCCAGAGAGGGAAGGCGTCGTAGGCCGGGGTGAGGATGCGGAAGCGGAAGAAGAAGCAGAGGATCAGGAGGCGGAGCACGATCACTATGCGGTACGGACTTATCAGGCTTGAGGGTATTGGGATCTTTCGCCATAGAGGCTGACGAGCTTCTGCTAATCTGCGAAACGGTTATTCGTTGACCGTTGTATGCAATTGCAAATTAGATTATTGGAACGTGATTCATTCATAAGATCATAGCATATATATTGTCTGTTTATGATTAATTTTTTATTTTTTGAATCACGTCTTAGATTAATTTTACTATAGCATTTTCTAAAAAAATAAAAAATAAAAAAATCACTATAGATTAGTAATTTTTTTTATGCCATGATCACTATTCACTAGGCATGTGCATACTATAAGGACTTGTGATAATTACAACAGTGATTTATGGTAATTCTGACAGTGATAAATATGAAAAAAATAATAATTAATGCTGTCTATAAAATAATTGGGTTAATCATGGTCTATGTCTTTGAAGTTTGCCTTTAATTTTAATTTATTTTTAACTTTTAAAATATCTCACAAGATCCTTAATTTATTATATTTTTTTAAATAGATGTTAAATATTTAACAGAATATGTGCAACTCAATTATTAAAATTAGAAACATCTAAAATTTAGAATTATTTATGAAAATTAATTATTATTATTATTATTTTTTTCTAGGTTGATGTAAATTCTTTTTGTTTTATATGTTAGTTTTAGACGAACCGGTCATCACAGGAATAACTGCTCTTAATTATTCTCACGTGTATGCTTTGTTAATAAGCCAATAACTAAAGTACTAATTACTTATGTGCTTAAAATAGTACTTACAGGTATTCTCAAAAAAAAAAAAAAAAAAACTTACAGGTAGTCTTCATCATCGCCTTGATCATTGTTTCCATCATCTTTGTTGAGCAAATTACCTCTCCTCTCTTGTCTGACTTTCCATTTCTCTACTCTGTCTTTCCATTCATCATTACCATAAACCTCTTTCTCTCCTTCAAATTCTTTAGCAGCTACTACATATATTAAATCCAACCAAGACCATATAAATCAATTTACTATTCATAATCTTTTCTCGTGAAATATAACTCCCATGTTACATATACATCCTCGAGTTATAGTTTTCAAAATGCTTACCACTTCCTGCGACAGAGAAAGCATGTCCATTGGGTTGCCATTGCTGCTGATTGTGCTCCCCATTATCCTGCAAAAAATACACCAATTTAATCATTAATATTAAAGTATATATGTTGAAACAAATCATAAACCATTATCACATTATGTAAGATCTGTAAGAGCAGTTTAAATTACCGAGTTATTAGTGAGGGGATTAATGCGATGATCATCTGAATTGTCACTATGGTGATTCTTCATCCGAAATTCGTCGTCAAAATCGTCTCCATCGTCGCTATCATCATCATCACCGGCTACTCTTGGACACCCTACAACACAAGGAACAACTTATATTCTTACTTAGGCCCCACAAATTTCACTAACAAGTAAAAAGAATGATTGATCACCAAGATGAGTCTTAAAACAAAACCTTTGTGACGCCTATAGCGAGTGTTGCACTGAGGACAGCTCTGATTCCCATCACTTCTCTCGTAGTCATAACAAGGCCTGCAAACAGGAAAACCGCAGACATGGCACGCCACAAACAAATCCCCGTTCTCTTTGTATCCGATCTCATCACCACAAACCCGACATATCCTTGATGCAGCCTGGCGCGTTAGGGGCCGTGAGTTCTGCTGCATTTGAATTACATCACATAAGTTGTAAGAAACTATCTAAACAATGAAACTTGATGCTCGCTGATATTTTAGACACACAAGAATGTAAAATTAATTAACATTTACCTCGGCATCGGAAACTTGGAGGTCGTTTCGGGTGTGAGAACCGGTGACAAAACCAGCCATGGCAAAAGCAAAAAATGTGATATGGAGGAAGCAGGGCTGGTGAAGGGAGGCGAAGGAAGATGTAGTTATATGGGAAGGTGTTGGGTCTAGAAAGAAACTTAAGAAAGGGAAAAAAAAAAAAAGAAAAATCAAACATGTGTGAGGCAGAAGAGAGTTGAGTCTACCAACTGTGAGTTGGGAAGTCGTGAGTTTGATTCTAAGAGAAGTTAGTGAGCAAAGCGATGGGTAGGAGGGATGTGTTTGTTTGGTAATGGTTTTTCTGGCCTTGCTTCGTTTCAAAGGCCTCTCCAAAGGCTGGCGGTTGCAGAGTTCTCTCTCAAACAATCCAACAAAATATACTTCTTTTACGTACTGTTTTATGTGTCACGTACCCCACTAATTTTCTTAGATAAGAAGTCCTTTTTTAAGAAAATTATAACAAGTCCCTGCAGATTTTATCTGTTTACATATATGCTGAAGTTCCTTGTTTTGCTAAGAAATGTATCGTAGATTGGGAAATTAATTCAAGTCGATTGATATTTTTCTTCCTTTTTTTTTTTTTTTTTCAAATTTTGGATCATATTTATAATGAGTTCTTAACTGATGGCGCATAACATTGTTTTCTTTTAATGTTTTGCATTATGGATTTATGGTTGGTTCTTGTATTCAAGTTTGTCTGAATGAATGTTCTCAAGGTTCTCTCATCTTCTAAAGAAAACAAATAAATAAGCCCATGTTTGTTTTAACAAGCTGAACTGTTGTTTAAGATTTAAACCATAGTTCATCATTCAAATTGATGTTTGGGAGAGGAAAATTTAAAGCTCATGTTTGTTTCAACAATCCAAAATGTTGTTTAGGATTCAAATTGATGTTTTGAAGAGAAAAATTTAAAGACAATTCAAACCATTAACAATAGTTCAACCCCTTAATTTTAAAATTCTACCACCCCCTAAATTCTAACAATCCTAATTGTTTTCTACAGTGAAAACAATTCATATTCTATTTTTTCTCTCTTCAATTTTAAGCTTAAAAATGTCATAACTTCTTCGTTTTAATTCCAATTGAGATGATTTTTTAATTGCATATTTTTAGATGTCATTTACAATGAGATTTTATAAGATTTGTTAAAACTCTAATGACAGTTTTCAACACTTTATCCAAACACAGTTCAGATTTTATTCTCAATGCAAATTACAATTTATTTGTATATCTAAACACCGGTTTAAATCACAATTCAAATCACCACAACTCAAATTAAATTAACAATTTGAATCGTTGAACCAAACGAGCCCTAAGGTATAAAGAGGACCTAGGAGACGGTTGAAATAATTAAAATCTTGGGCACGATCCAAAATTGCACACGACATGCAATCTTTGTCATTTTGTCCATTTTGCTTGTCATAAGCTGTGTAATTTAAGCTTAAAGTTTGGTTGCTGATCACACATATTTTAGGTAAGATGGCACTTTGAGCTCCTATTCATCATGACAATATATTAAAAGGTTATAGAGAAAGAGGTTGAAATCCCCACATATATGGCCACTTTACGGGGCCACTGACACCCCGAAGGTAATCTGACCAACACGGTCCGAGACTTATTGCAAGGTAAACGACTGCCCAATCAACCTACCTAGAGCACAATGGGGCGCTTAAGCTCTTTAAGCAATTTCGCCTATCTCTATTGCGCGACGTCCCTGGCTGAACTGAGCTTTCCCATCCCACCTGTTCTACACACGAATAAATGAAATCTGCATCATAGCAGCATCAGTAATGAAGCAAAACTGTCTTAAACACAGACATTACCATCACAAGTACTGATTGATTACCGGTCTAAATTCAAGTGCCAACACAATATAGGCTACTAATCTTCTGGTTAGGAAATTGCTATCGTTGTTTTGCATGGAGATTTTTATTAATAGCTTAAAACTTGAGAGTTCCTTACAGATGAAAACACCTATAAAAACACAATTGACTGGAGTGACGGAATGATTCTCAGAGCCCCATCCTTAGTTGGCAAGAAGAGTACTAAATAGAGGTTTAAGAATAGTAGGAACAAAACTTGTTACCGAGCTTAGCTTCAATTTACCATCTAAGTAGATAAAACTGCAGATGTGCTGCTCATCATAATATATATCACATCAACGACACCACAGAGGACCTCAAAGTCTCAAAAGCTTTTTCCATCGACAGAGTCGCTCACCTTACTCAAGATTAATTTTGTATTGTCAGTTTGATATGCCAAGTTGATGAATGATATGGCTTATTCTATTGTTTTCAGACGCTTTGAGGATTGCGAACCAGTCTCGCAAACATCTGGCTCGTGATTATCTGGAACTTTCCCTTGAGGTGCCTCTTTCTGCTCGCCAAGCTCATCAGAACCTCCTCTTGTCGTAGTTTTAGCATCACTTGAATCATTTTCAGTTTTGCCATCGTCGATTTTGGACGCTTCCTGTTCACCTTTTTCAGGGGAACCTTGAATTGCATCTGAAGACACGGCAGAGGGGTTCCCCAAAGTGGACGATGAAGCCTTTAGCTTGTCCATACCTGACTTTTGCTTTTCAAACATTATTTGCAGGTACCTCCCTTGTTCTTCTATTCGCAGCTGTAGGTTTCTTTGTATCTGCAGAGAAGAGAGAGATTTCAACATCACACTACCAAGAACAGATAAAAGCTTTCAGGTGGTTAGGAATAGAGCCCTAAAAATACTGCAAGCCTGCGAAAACTTTTGACCATTTTTTTTTTTCTTTTTGCGCCGAATGAACTCAAAACAAAACTAAGCAGCTATATGGCGCACCTCAAGCTGTTCATGCAGCCGCTTTTGTACTTCCATTTGCAATCGCAGAGCTTCAGTGATCTCAATACCCCTGTTAAGCACCATGGTAAAGGAGAAATATATTCAGCATAATCAAACCTATAAATAAAATTTACAACACCGAAAGGAAATACATTTCAAAAATTGAACAATTTGACAATTTGGTCTTCTTCTGGTTCTATATACCAGCTGCACTCATGGAGTAGAAATTTAACAGTGGCTTCATACTGTCTAGCAGTAACGAAAGTTATACAGTCTATGTTCTTCCCTAGCAAGCTTCAAAACTACTTACTTTTGCAGCCCTTTCACACTGGGTGATGCTGCTTTTGCTCTTTTATGTAGCAATCTACCCATATCATCTAGGTTATTCGGTGAAAAATTATAAATGTCAACAATGACCTTAATCAAGATCGACTTTAACATTAAGGGCCTCCTCAAACCACAAGGATCAGTAGCCTAATGAAAACAAAAATTAAAACTCCAATGAACGCTCAAGTTGTAGTGGGAACTAGCAGCAACCTCTATTAATCCTCCTGATTTCCTTCCAAAATTCAGTATCTGGCAAGAGTACTTCGACACTGGATTCTATTGAACGTACTATTTTGTAACCATTTTAAATGAGGTCGTCAAACTTACAGATACAGAAAAACATTTATAGAAACTAACATTCTTGTCCACGTGGACTCTTTTTTTTTTTTTTTAATGAAGCCATGGCCAAGCTGACAGTGCCTCAAGCATATAAATTATAAAACTCAAGGTAAACCTAAACAAGTAAACATATTTAGGCCCCATTCACTTCACCGATTCGAGTTTAGAATTTGAGTTTTGCTACAGTAAAAAGTTCTCAGAAACAGTTACATCTAACTTTTTTGCTACAGTAAAAAGCTCTCACATAAAATCACATATCAACTCAATTACAAACTCGAATCAGCGAAGTGAACGGGATTTAGGGATTATGGCCTAAAAAGTAATTAATTTGGAAATGCAAGTATTGTTTCGTTGGATGCTGTAGAAAGTCGCTATAGCATAATCATGTAATTCACATAAGCCAAAGAAACCGTGAAAACACAATATTCTCCAAAGTAATGTCAATAAATTGACTCACGTTTTCAAGTCAAGAGATGATATTTCGTCAATGGGAGTCAATCTCTTTTCTGAGGACCCTGCATACAGAAACTACAACTCAGTACATAAAGTAAATATGATATTTTTACATTACTATAAAGAGAAGAATGATATCTTTACATGTAAAACGAGAACCGAAAGGATATTGCATAAATAAAATACAAATAATAGGTAAGATTCTTTTTTGCCCTGCTTGGCGATTTTGTAAGAGTACACTAGGAAACCATGATTACATATAATGTGAATGATCGAGATAATAGCCCAGAAGAAAAATAACATAAACAGCTGCTAGCTTCAATGAAAGGCAAAAATACTAAATACTATGTGGGTTATGAATATTATGGAACGAAGAACTTCATTCTCTTAAAGAAAAGAAAGAAAACGAGAAAAGAAATTCTCATTTGATGCATCAAAATACTAACAAAATAAGAGAAAGCTTCACAAAAACAGTTTTTGAACCAACCACTTTCAGCATCAAAGAACAAAAAATAAAAAATAAAAATAAAAATCTGTTGCTTGTTACTGACAAAAACTCGTAGACCTCCAAAACAGAAAGAGAGGGAAAAGTTCAACCTAAAATCCCTGCTATATTTTTCTTCTTTAGTAGAAAGACAGTAAAAAGCAAGCACCAAGAGGCTCATATGGCAAGTAATGAAGGCGTAACAAACACATATCAAATGAGAGCAACCATAAATGCATGCCACTATTATTACTTGGGGGTACATGTCATATACCTTCTGATGACTCTGGTCTATATCTAGCTGTCCTATACTTCTGCAGTTCAAGAATTATGTTCTCTGATCAGAAGAAAATTGACACACAGGGAAATATTATAAAAGAAAATCTAAATGATAAAAAAAAATATATGTACCTGCAAGTGGCTTTTGACATGATAGATAGTTAAGCTTTCAACTTTCATGAGCTTCAAGACACCCTTTGGAGTTGCTCCTGAAAGTTAAAAATAATTAATTCAATCGAAGTAGAAGCTTTGTGATCTTAAAGAAATAAGCGAGCCAAAAGAGTTGCACACTTTCACTGCCACCAAGTTGGTTAACAGCCTCCACAAAGGCCTCGTGAAGTTCTGGTGTCCAACGCATGCGTGGCTTAGCTGAGGCAGTAGCACTGTTAGTTGAACAAGAAGGAGTAGCAACAGTCTGAATTTCTCCAGACGGAGCAGAATGCTGCTGATGAAGTTGTGGATGTTGAGCTTGAAAGCTTGGTGGTTTTTCTACCTGGTATGCCATCTGAAGCAACAAAAAATGAGAAGCCAATATGAGTGTCGATAAAACATACCAAAATTCAACACTTTACTTTACAGATGAATATTTTTCTTTTATGGGAACTTTGCAAAAGCGTATTAAGCTTCATAAGTAGAAGAGGATCCAACCTTTGGTTCCATTTCTGCTACATTGGTGTCTGCAAGAAATTCATCCCAACTAGAATTTAAAGCATTGTTATCTGTGATTAGCTGGTCAGCCCAATCCTGCCAATCATTACGCCTGCCAAATTCGTCAGACGCCACGATACCGCTACAACTACTGCTTTCGACTTGACTATTCTCAACAGGAGTATTTACAGAGAAATCAAGTAAATCTTCAACAGAATCTGTACACCACGAAGCACTGTTTTCTTTGGTATAATGACTTGATGTTGTAGAATGAAGCAGTGTTGAATAAGAAGATTGCGGCACTGAAAAAGACACCCCATTCGTTGATGACTGAGGTATAAAAGGAGTGTTTCTTGACTGAATCTTCTGTTGTGAAAGTGAAACAGATGAATAGTGAAGATCTGATGAAAATCCAGAGGACGAGGAAAATATGTGACCCATTACTCCACTGTTGGAGGTTAAGTGGCTCGCATGAGTGAGAGGGCTTGTCATGAGTTCTCTCTCAATGGACACTTGTTGGGAGTCTGGCAACTTGGGATACGACTCCTCGTAAGGGGTTGGAAGCACGGGCAAAGATGAAGTAAATGCTCCAGATACCCCCATGTTAGTCAGCTGCGTTGTACCTGACCTTGGAATGGATAAAGCAGGGCGTGCCTCCATTTCTTCGAAAAATCGCAAAAGTGTTAGTTATTTAGGACATAACTATAGGTAGGTATGATTAAGCTGTTCTAATAATGATACTCACCAATTTAAGACCTACTAAAAGCAACCTTTGCTTGCTATCCAAACCACAGAAAAGATCATCAATTACCAGGTCTGAAAAGGGGAAAAAACTACCATTAATACAAGAAAATACTAAAAGAAAGAGTACTCAAGTAAAGGAATTTTAATGGCAAAGAACATAAAAACGTGTATAGTTAGTTTCATTCGAATACAAGCATACATGCACACACAAGTTAATCCTTCAATATGTTCAAATGATCTAATTTCCTTAAATGATGCACTGTGTATATGTTACAACGCTTTTTAAAGCAATAATGTGTGTTTTTTTTTTTTTTTTTTTTTTTTTTTTTTTTTTTTTTTGGGTTTTTTGACATTTGATCTGGAGAACCAAGGTTTGACCTATAAAGCATATAACGAGGTTTGACCTTTTTCACTAACATTTAAGAACCAAGCGACTGCAATTCTATTCAATCTACATCATCCACTTAAAAGCATCAAAAACAAAATCAATACTTCCACCAAACACCAATATAAACCTATTTCCTCAGTTAAGTTATCGAAACTACTAAATGGAACAGAAAATTTCAGATAAAATTTCTACAGAACCACATACTTCAGCCATATACTAAAATCAACAATCCAAATCCTCTTGAGGAGAAGAGAATAAGAATTAAGCTATAACAGACTAGAACCACAAATCCATAAGCAAACTTGATCCAACCAAAAGAAGACAAAATTCACATAGAAATTGCCGTATCTCCCACCATGCGAAACATGATCACTACATACCAAACTCAGAAACACCATGTCCATTACAACTACATAAAATATATATACATATATATATATATATATATATATATTGTAAAATAGAGAACACATTATCCAAGATGAAACATGAAAAAACACACAGAAACCAATGAAGGGAAAAAAAAAAGAAAGATAAATTCGATTCCGACATAAACCAGAATAAAAAATTAATTACGAAAAAAGATTAAAATTTTTCAGAGGAACAAGCCGAATTCTTGCCTGAAAGGAGATGGAGAGAAGAGAAAATTGGAATCGAAAAGGGCAGAGAAAGAATCGAATCGAAACCGGAAATTTGGTCAGAGGAGGAGGATGGAGGATGGAGGGGGCGTAATTCTGGGGTGACAGGCGGGTGTTTTAGAATTGGGTCACCGGCGTCCGTGGCAGAGCCAGAGGTAGGGGAGGTGGATGGTGACGAGTGCGCTTTGCCCTTTCTTCGTCCTTCTTTCGGGCGGCTTTCTTTCAGGACATCTGCATTAAAAGGAAACACTGCTCATCTCACGCGCTTCGTCAGCGCGTGTACCTCAGTGTTCCAGAACGTAGTGACTAGTGCGTATGGCATTTGTGTTGTGTTGGGGTGGGGCCCACCGTATGGGAGTGTGTGATTGGTGGGGGAGTGGTAAATATCTGTTGTGTTGCACGTGGGGCTAAGCTCTTTTTTACCCGTCCGATTAGGATTTTAGATTTGAGATTAAAAATTTTTAAAGCGAGTTTAAAGATTTTTTTTTTTTTTAAAGAAAAAACTTTATTAAAAGTCGAAAACGAGGTTAGAGGCTTAGAGCATGGTGGCTAGTGGCTACAAAGGGCGCCACCTCCTCAAAGTTAAGAGTATGTTTGGTTAGATAATTTATTCTCTTATTTAAATTATAATTTATGATTTATTATAGTATTTTTTCTCATAAAAAATATACATAAATTAAAAATGATTCTAATTTTATAGTTCTAATTCATAAACCAAACGAGCTTCAAAGAATCACAAGATCCAGTAATAGAAGCCCACTTAGCCAAACGATCAGCTAAACCATTTTCGGTTCTAAGTTGACAAGACTCATTAAGAGCCAATATGGTAGGTGTTGTAAATTTTTAAAAAATTATTGTTAGTTGTGTTGAAAAAAAAAAGAAATTATTATAAAAGGTAATTAAGGTTTTGTTCATTTTATTGATTTGAGTTTAAAATTTGAGTTTTGTTACAGTAAAAAACTCTCACAAACAATCACATCTAATTTTTTTATTATAGTAAAAAATTCTCACATAAAGTCACATCTCAACTCTAATTAAAAACTCGAATAAGCGAACTAAACATACCCTAAATATTTGGTAAACTGTAATTATACAAGGATTGATTCTAGAAGTATTATAAAACTTTCATTAATTATACTTTAAGGTAATTATCGCATAATCTTAAAATTAAAATTGTCTTTAGACTGTTTCTGATTTTGACTGTAAATTTTTTAAAAAAATTTTAAAAATCACTTTTTTTTTTATCAAACACAAATTTCAACTGTGAATGACCAAAAAATTAATTTTAAACTTTAAAAATCACTACCAAACACGTCTCCTCGTTCATTTCGCGGATTTGAGTTTTCAATTTAAGTTGAGATGTGACATTTTTTTAGAGTATTTTATTATAGTAGAAAAATTTAAATGTGACATTTTTTTAGAATTTTTTACTGTAAAAACTCAAAATTAAAAACTCAAATCGATAAAATGAACGAGGCTTAAACACACAGCAATAGACTGCCAATTTCCGGACACAGTCTCGACTTTAAAGCCTCAATGGCAACTTTACAATCTCCAAACAGTCGAGTCGGACCTGCCAACGATGCTGCTATCTGCACAGCCAATCCAGCAGCCCGCAATTCAGCATCCAGACTGCTACATGCAAGAGACGTGGAAGTATGAATACGCTGGATGCATCTGTCAGAATCGACAACAACTGCAGCAAGACCTGCTTTGTCAGCATCAAAGAAGATCTTGGTCTGACCCCCATGGGGTTGGAGTGAGTCTGACGCCTCCTGCAGACAATGTGGAACCACCCTATCAATCTCCGAATCGCAATCGTCTGGCAGCGATAAGAATGATCCCGGGCCAGAGTTTGGATCCTCTGGAATAGTTCCCATTGATTCAGAGGTTTTCCTTGAAAAAACCAGCTCATTTCGAGCCTTCCAAACTTCAGAGAAGCAAATAGCTCCCCAGCGAACAAACTCTGCTCCATCTACTACACTCGGCGGGGAAAGCAGCCACTCGACCAAGTCCACACCCGATGAGAGGGGAATGCGATCAATCCGAATATGCCAAGGACTAGCGAACCAACAAAGTACTAAACAGAGCATTTAGACAATAAATGCATCATGGAATCACAATCTTCACCACAGCAATAGCAAGAAGGGACATTGGACTGGAAAAACCTGGCTCTTCTCTCCGAAGTGGGAAGCAAATCTTTTGCACACCGCCATAAGAAGACCTTTAAACGCTCATGCAGCTTGGACTGCCAAATTTTCTTCCAAATAGGACCATCCGCCGCAGCTCTGTGAGCTATGACCACCCAGTAAGCACTCTTGACACTGAAAGCCCCCTTCTTTGTGCCCTTCCAAACCAGAATTTCTTCGGCTGGGGACGCCAGGGGTTTGATCGATTTAATCCACGCCGCAGATTGCGGGTCAAAAAGATGGTCCACAAGATCTGCATGCCAGGACCGAGACTGGGGAACAAAAAGATCAGCAACAAATTTGTAGTCAAGGGGCCTAAGATATTCACCATTGAGTCTTGGATTAAAGGCTGCTCTGGTCGTCCCCGGCTCTAGTCCAGGGATCCACGGCCGAGCCCACACCTCAGAACTCCCAAAATGGAAATTCTTGATTTTAAGTGGGTGTTTAAAACTGTTTTTGAAAATAATTTTTATGTATTTTGAGAAGTAAAAAATGAAAATTAAACGACATTTATTTTGTAAATGTTTTGAAAATGAAAACGGTGAGAATGATTTTTGTGAAAGAATTAAAAAACAGTTGAAAGTTATTTTTTACTTTTCTGTTTTTATTTTTTAGTACTTATCAATAATATTATAATATATTAATTAATAAACACGATTTCACTTTTTTATTATACTAAAAATAATCTTCTAAAAAATCAACCAAACGCAATTTTAAAATCAGTCTCGGAATGATTCTAAAAATAATCTCATTTTTACTTTTTATTAAAAATAAAATCATTTTAAAATTAATTTCAAACGCACTAGTTTTTGAATTGATGACATCAAGATTCTTGATTTTTTTTTATTTTTTTAAAAAGGAAATGTTTGATTTGGAAACCCTTTTTATGCGTTTATCTCATAGCTCGATTTATTGTTCAAACTTATTTGTTACATTATTTTCTCTCATAAAATTTAAATTTATTTTAAATTTTTATATTTAAATTTATGAACTAAACAGATTCTTTATTATCTTTTGTTTTCGAAAACCATCGGTTAGACTAACTTTCCTAAATAATATGTATTTTTTTAAGGAACTAATTTTTTATGTTTTTAAAAGTACTATTGTATGAGAATATATAATGGTATAAGATATGTTGGTCAATGTAATTATTTATTTTTTTGTATATATTTAATTCATATGAATGTTTAATTAAAGTTTTTTTTTTATCTATCTATTGATCTGAAAAAAGAGAGGCGTTATATTTAAGGAAGTTTTCTTTAATTAGCCCCAAAAAAAAAAAGTCAACTTGTCCGTGTGGAAAATGGAAATGAATACCACGTTTAGAATCCAAACCATGATTTGAATCATTGTTCATGGTTCGCTACAGTATTTTCTCTCACAAAAAATACACGTAAATAAAAAATTATTCTAATAACATTATTCTAATCTATAAACCAAACGTCTTCTAAATCTCCATAATTTATGAATGTTATTATCCTCTTTAATTTATCCGTATCTTTCATTTACACAAAATTTACTACTCAACCCCTTTACTAGATGCAAGGGAATTTGTTCCAATATTTGTCAAAAAGATTTTACTTGAATCCAAGAAAAAGAACTTTGCCACCAATATTTCATTAATGCATTTCACTATCTCATATCTGCAAATCTCAAAAGGTACCGGATTATCCAAAAGCCAATGAAAATCCATAATGGGAATATTTTTTTTCTTCTTGAGAAGTCCCTTTCACTGGAATATAGGATCTTCGACGAGAATAACGCTATCTCTGCTTGATCAATGTCTTCATAATAATCAAAATGAGAGCCCAATTACACTCTAACAAAACTCTTCCTCGCCACCAACACCAACTTCCTCGCAAAAAGTATATATGCTTCCGCATCATGAGGACATAAAACATGTTACATTACATGGAATCCGAGACACGACCCTTTTAAAAACCTTTTTCTTTATGCACTAACTAGTCACTAGCTCACTACTAATGGGTTGGTGTAGTGAGGAGATGTGCTCAGTTCGATATTTTATAGTCTCGCTTTACGATCCCTGTCCGGCTAATGTGTTGTAAGGCGTTGGGTGTGTAACGGGATGAGTGAAAATTAGGCTCACCTTTCGAGTAGAATTGAGTTAGGTTTTTTCTGTTTTATTAGTGTGTTCTGAATTTTCTAAAATTGCAGAGGATGGGGTGTATGATAGACACCAATAAAACCCTTTTCTCTAAGGGAAAAAAAAAAAAGTCACTAGCTCAAAGCAAAATAAACTAGTTAATTTATACTTCAAAAGTTTCATATGAGATCTTCTACAAGATAAATGTGAATTTGAATCTGATCTCCAACAAATTTAGTTGTTGGTTCTTTTATCCACTACCAAGTACACACACTCACACACACACAAAAAGGTTCAATTCTTAGATTCCAAAAACAAATAGTACGTATTGGGATTTAGGAGATGATATTCCTTGTGTTTGTGCAATAACATGGTATATGTTTTTCTGAAAGCGACACAAGAAATCTGCAGTGGGCTTTTTCACCTTCTTTTCGTTGGAGAGAACTTATTTGCTTTCAACACACGCCAGAAATCTCAATCAAGCAAGAGTTTTACAGCACACATCCAATATTAAGAAGAACAATTTTAATTGAAAGTGGGGTTGCGAAATTGTGCTTAACTTACACAAATAAGAAAGTGAGAGCTTCAAGCTATATAGTAAATGGAATTTGGTAGTTTGAAGGTTCTTTTTGCACTTGGATGCCCTTCAAAGCTGCTCCACTGATCTCCGACTATGCCCCATATGCGGTATCCTTCGTCTACTAACCGCTGCCTCGCCGCGGATTTGTACTTTTGCACCTCCTGTAGTTCATCTTCTAGACCTCTTTTCATAGATATAACAAATACATTAAAATGTTAATGATAGTCGGTCTTTTAGTATAAAGTCTCACTTGGCTACTTATTTTTCCGGAAGAAAATTTGTGTACCTTAGTGAGAGACCAGACCATCCATGGTATCCAACTTCAATGAGGTTATCCACAGTGTGAGATCTAAGAGTTTCCCTTCTTGAAGAGATGAGAAAGATCTGAAGCCCTTTGTCTTTGATCTCATGGAAGAGGTTGAGTGTGGGCTTAAGAGCCGGCGCGTTTTTCTTCTTCATCCATGCTTCCAAAGATGTTACATTACGTTTCTCTCCCCTAGTTTCAGATTCCAAAAACATCCTAATCAGTTCCTTAAAAACCTACTTTCCAAGAGACAACATCACACCATTATTCTTAAGAAAATGCTTAGTTTGTATAGAAACTCAAAAAAGCATGCTTATTGTGCCTCTTATGAGATTTTAGCCATTGCCAAAAAAACAGCATAGTGGATATCAATGTCAATATAGTACTAACATTGGATCTAAGTGATTAAGATTTGATATAATTGATAGTGAACAAAACTACAGAAAATTGTCTAGATCTTCAAGTTTCATAATACATATCACTGATATGCATAAATAATCTTATCTGATCAAGGCAAAAAAATAAAAATAAAAATAAATAAAAAGGACAGATTTGATTATTGGCTTACCCAAAACCATGTATTTTATGGTAAGGAATGGTGGAAAGCAGGGTGTCATCAACATCAAAAATCCATGCATCTTTACCATCACCATCCAAAGTACAACAATTGCTTAAATACAGTTTGACCTCCTCTAAGGCCTTCTCAGAATCAGCCTTGTACTGTGAAGATGTCATGTATTTCTTAATGTACCCAACACATTCTTGAGGAACCACTTCAAAGCCCCTAATGTTGTTTATCTCCACATTGATCCTCCAACTCTCACAGTACTTCTTCAAGCTATCACCAAGCTCATTTCTAAATCTTTGGCTCAAAATGCTCCAATCTGCTGCCACCACTGAGCCTATGAAGATGTTTGAGAAGATTATCAGAGAGAATCCTATGATCTTCCCCATTTCTTTTCAGTTCAGCCTCACTAGAGGGTGTAAATGCAAAGAAAAAATTGTGAAGTTTGAACTTGAAGAATAGTGGGTGTGTAAAAAAAGGGTGTGGTTTGGCATGGGCTGTGGGACATATGTTGGGTTGGTATTTTATTAAATTTCACATGGTGTAGTCAATCAAGTTGAATGGGTTGTGCATGATTTGTGGACTAGTGAGACTAATAATTCATGTAGGAGTGACAAATGGAATAAAAGGCAATATTTATGCTTCACAACTAATGAATATCTGTCTCCCTTGAAGCTTCGTTATCAACTACTTTCCAAATTACATAACCAAACTAAATCAGATTTATTCTACTTTTGCAGAATAAATTCATTGCCAAAATAAATGTGCCATACCAACTGATAATAATTAGTGTTGGTCCAAAATGTCAAAACTATTGTTTCTCTTTTTTAAGTTTAGGATTAGATATCTTCCTTTATGTTTCTTGTTTTCAAATGTCTCAAGATCTCTGTTAAAAGATAATAAGGATATACACAGCTCAGATTGTCTTTTCCTTTCCTCTTTAAACTGTTTCATGTTTAATGATTATAGTATCAGACTATCAGATTATAGCATGTTAATGGGCTTGGAAGGCAAAGAAACACGGTAATGATTAGGGCTGGCAATTTAGGTAGCGACAAGACTCGAAATCTGCACGAAGTTAACAGGTTTAGGTTTATCATAAATAGGTTTGGGTTAAAATAAGGTCGAACCCATGAAATACGATTAAATAGCGTGTCGTTTTCAGGTTGACCCGTCAACCCGCAATTAACCCGCCGTAATCCGTTTATTAAACATATCATATTTGGATAACACGAATACACAACACAATTATAACCCGTTTGTTACTTATGTTGACAAACAGGTTGAAAAACACGTTGAGAAATAGGTTGACACGACCTTATTATCACTCATTTTATAAACGGGTTAATAAACGGTTATTAGAAACAAGTTGATCCAATACTATTATGACATGTTTAATAAACGGGTTAGTCGTTCATGTCATGTTAACCCGCCAATATACAAGTCGTGTTGAGTTTTGTATTTTAACACGAATAATAAATGAGTAGTGTTCGTGTCAAATCTCATCGTGTCAACTGAAAAAATTAACACGATATGAATACGATACGGCAACACGAATTGTCACCACTAATAATGATGATATTGGGAAGGACCCTCAACAGAAGCCAAAAAGGGATGCCCTACCATGAATCATTTAGGCCTCGTTCATTTCACCGATTCGAGTTTTCAGTTCGAGATTTCTACAGTAAAAAGTTCTCCAAAAATGTCACATCTAACTTTTTCTGCTACAGTAAAAAACTCTCAGAAAATGTCACATCCGAACTCAAATTAAAAACTCAAATCTACAAAGTGAACGAAGCCTTAATACTTGAAAACATAAATATGAAAATACAATGAATCAACTAGTCACGAACATTACTATTGATACTTTTGGCGTTGGAATGTGAAAATCAGAAAAAGTAATATCTACTTTACAGTTCAGTACCATGATTCACGGAAGCGTTTTATAAGGGGAAAAAGGAAGAAGAGATTATCTAATTTAAGTTTTTTTTTTTTTTTTCCTTCAAAAAAAATTTAAGGTTGCTTTAGTTTTTGGATAAATTTGTGATAATGTTAAAAAAAATTCCTATCACCTATTAGTAAATAAGACACAGTTTTGAATTATTAAATCGTATTAAAAAAATAATTAGTAATTTATTTTTTATGGGATAAGAGATTCTCAAGAAAGTAGTCTCGATTGGCTTCAGAATTGTATTAAAAAAAAAATTTTTTTTTTTCCTTTTACTCTGTCAAAGAATTCTATTTTTACAGGATAAGAGATTCTCAAAAAAGTATTCTCTGCAGTCTCAATTAAGATGCCGAAACAGACCTTCAAAAGAAGCAACTCAATTTCTACAACATCCCAGCTACTTCCTCATTTTCACAATCACCAATCAGTTGAAAAGGGACAACAAATCACAGACTCAAAAAACATATTTACTGGAGATGATCAATACTAGTTCACGTTGTAGGAAACCCAAGTAGATTGCTAATCATGGTGGATAACGACATAGAAGTGATTCACATATATACAAATATTGGACGAACGCCCTTTTATGAATACATGCCTAAAAATGGGCTCTGAAACAAACCATAACAAAAGAATGATCTGTTTGCTTATTTAGACGGTTCAAAGAAAAGAAACGATCATTGAAAAACATGAAACGAAGGAGAGATGTGCCTTCACAAAAAACCATCATCAAAGTTGAGAGCATAGCTGCGAAGATCATAGTTGTACTGAACACCGCTTCTTTGCCGTGCCAAAACTCTCTTGCAGTGTGACTTGAACTTCCAAATCTGCCTTAAAAGACAAGGCACCTTGCAGCAGAAGCAGCTCAATGAAACTCTACTTTGAACACTAACAACCGCGGCTTCGTAACCATTGCTGGAAATTCTCTTCCCAAAGTTCGACTGGATTTTCCGCATACCCGACAAGCTTGACGTCTTCATTTTGAACTTTTTTGCTGTTGTTTCGGAAAGATCTTGTAGTGGAAGCATAAAAGCACAATGAAAGCTTTAGTTTTATAAGATGTGTAGATGGCTCTATCCCACTAGAAGAGCCTCATGTATTTCAGATGTCACTTTCCCATTTGCAGGAGATTTAAAAAAAGAACATTATCATGATCAATAATAGTGCTTTTCCACAGTCATATATACCACTTTTGTTTTGATACCATTCCCAGTCACGTAGGCCCCACCTGCCCTCTAGTGATGCAATGTCAATCGTGATGACACAGCACTTTCCAAGCCCAATATTCTTCTCCTAAAAGTTGCTTGCGGTTCATATTTTTTTCTTTCGGTTTCCTTCTCTTTCACTCAAGGATTGAAACTTTCCTGGAAGTGTCAATGAAGAATGATGAGATCGAGGCATGTTCTTATGTGTCAAAAAAGTTTGCCCCATTAGTTACCTGAAAATGAAACAAGTTTGACCAGGCTTTAATCATGCAGAGAAAATGTAATGTGGCAGATCATCTGAATACCTGACACGAATGAAACAATAACAAAGTTGTAACTTGTCTATGAAAAAGCCAGTCTCCACAAAGCACAACATAAACAAATAATAATTACACCCAAGAGAGAGAAACTCATGTCCCAACAAACATCAAAATTTCGACTATATCGAAAACGCGGATTTTGTGTGAATATGTGGAAAGATGCATGTACTATTTACAGGGACGTGTTAATGACTAGCATTGTAATGTTTTACCATCAAGCGATATTGGGGCCATGTATTTGATGAGCCCAATAAACATGAAAAATATAGAGACACCAAATTCTCTCAGCCAATTCACCTGTGGGGAATCAGAAAAGCATATTAGTCTCTTGCAAATCATTTAGCAACAAATTTCTATTTAGGACTTGTGAAACTTGTACAGATAACACTCACAGTCATTATGCTCCTTCCGATCTTGATTACAACTGCAGCATCTACAAGGTAAAGTATATATGAACTGATTGTACATTGAACATATTTACTGAAACGGATTTTAAAAAAAAAAATGGCCGAAAGAGTACCTCATCTTTGAAAAATCTCCTCTTAATTGAATCTCCAATTCGCTCAAATAAAACCTGAACAAAGGCGACCTGTAAAATGATTGATTTCAAACTTCAATTGCAACACATTTAAGGAACTAAGTGAGTCTACAATTTCATATGAGATACCAATCATTACTAAAAGGATTATACTGTTATTTATTAGTATTGTCACAAGGTAGACGTGTTAAAAAATTGAATGTTAAACCAATAATAGATGGTGGAGTAAATTAAAAGCTCACGACTCATTTTAATTCTTATGTGAATTAGAGAACTGATTCAAAGTATGTACAACTTCAAAAGTAGAAATACCGGGATGGAATTGAAACTGCAGCAAGAGCTGGTGATATGTTCCACAATGGATGCAGCTGACCGCCCAATTTTTCAGTCAAATAGTCAACAATGTCATTTTCCTAGTTCCACAGCAGGTTATAAAATAAAATACAAAGCGCAAATAAAAGAAGTTCGCTGTGGCAAAAACGAATCAAGATATGAAACTGCAACCATGCCATATAAATTTAGGGCCCGTTTGGTATATGGGTTCAAACTAAGATTCAAATCAGTGGTTTTTTATTATGACTTGTGAAATTCAAATTTTTGTGAGAAAAAAACACTGTAGCAAAATCAAAACCATGGGTTTGAACCCACGAAGAACCCATATACCAAACATACCCTTAGATAAGTTTAACAACCTTTGAACTCGTTTCTTCTTTAGACTCAAAATTGTGAGGCTTCCCACGAAGTAACTTGCACACTTCATGATATTGCTCTGAAGTTGCAATGGAATTGTAAGAAACCGACATCAAATGTTCAATTAGATTCGTCCACCTGCTTGCAATGCACCCAAGTAGCAAGAGCTCCTGTTTCAGGGAAAAAAAGTAGAGGATGATTAAACTTTGAATAAGAGCTACCGAACTTGTTGTTATAATTGATTTTTTTCCCCATTCCTGAACAGAGAATAAGTAGGCTTACAATTGTGTCACGCAAATTATCATCACTACTTTCTGCTGAAACAATCAGCCGGTCAAGAACTTGTACCCACTGAACCTTTGGAGCAGAAAATATCATGCTGGCACCCGAAACCATTTGAATAGCCCTCTTGTCAAGAAAGTAAGAAAGATTCTTCGATTTCCAGTGGTTCCATTTCATAAAACCAACCAACTGATCTACAATCCTGAAACACATAGCCACAAGATATCCAGAGGCATTACCATTAAAATCCTCAAGACACTTTTACCAACATGATGACCTTATAATAATAACAGAAAAATATACCGTATTGGATGCAGACACTCAATAAAGACTTAAACACACCCCCTCGGCCCTAACTTACATAGGAGCGTCATTCTGCTTCAGTTGTTCCTTAAATAATTTGTCATCAAGCTCCTTCCAACTGCTACATATGATAGTGTCAGAGATGGGCTTTAAGCTTTTCTCAATTGTGGATATATCCGACACCGCAGACCACCTCTTCAGAATCTTTTGAACCGCATACTTTGTGAAACTAGTGCCGTCGCATTCTTCTGCCTCCTTAACCAAGAAAAAGTCTAGAGATGGTATCGAATCTTCACTAGAAAACCCCCCATTCTGAACTGAGTAAGTTGATTTATGTTGCAGCTTCAGCTTGCTCAGATATGCACTGAGGCGATCGTGCTCAGTTCCTGAGAGCTCGTCAAGGTCCATTTGGATTGTTGCCATAAGAAAATCTCTGAGGTGTGAGTCCCTCAATGGTAAAGTATGGATGAAATGGTCCATCAAAAACCCTCTTGCCCTAGTAAGAGTTTCAGATGATAGATGTGCAAGGCCCTGATTTTTTTTCAGACATAACTAAGCAATCACATAGCTTTCTACAAGTAATCTAGTAAATTCAAAAAATAAAGGAGAGAGTATAAATGTTAAATAAAAATATGCCACCTGAGGGAAAGAAGCAGCAGATGTGATTTTAGACAGAGCCATATCAAGTTCATTCAAAGAGTCCTGGTAAACCTCCAAGCTGCTCAAAGTACTCAAAACCTATCAACATCATTACCAAAGCAAATTCCAATGTGAGATTACCAATTACAAGACAAAAGAAAAAAGATTAAGCATATAAAAATGACATCAATCTGAAAATCCAATTCAATTTTCACACAACATTGGAAATATACAAGTATATATGATCTCAAACTGAAAAGGCAAATTAAAGCATATTTCTTTTCAAAGCATGGAAAAGAAAAAACATTTTCTCTAATATCAATTTTATGAGGGAAAGGGGGTTGCTAACATTTTCAAAGAAGAGAGCCCATTGGAAAGCTTTGCTGATGTTAGTAGGATCCCAATGAGCAGGACGACCAGAGGATTGATACCCAGATGTCAGAATCAGTATATCTACGAACCCCTTTATCAGTTTCATCAGATCGTCCAGTGATATTTGCGGGTGGCCCCAACCCATCTTCTTCTTCTTCTTCTTCTTCTTCTTCTATGAAACCCTAAGACCCAATTAAATAAATAAAAAAAAACAACAACTACAGAAACATATAAAACGGCTTGTCTAACTTTATTCACTTCTTCGATTCTGGACACCACTAGTCCCACTACCATGGCTTCCGAGGATAATTCAACGGCCGTCAATCAACGCTGCTCTTTCCCGTCACTCGCACCAAGTCCCACCCCACTGGACCCACCCGCCAAAACTATTACAGAAACGACATTAATCTTTACCTAAACGACAAGTAGTGTTGTACACAAAAGTCGAGTGCCTTAATCCGTAAACGACAAGTCAGTTACAGGTAATAAGATAAGAAAATACCCAACATCCTTTTTCTCTCCCCATCTTTTTTTTGGGAAAAAATATTTTGCGGTATAACACAAATATTTTAAGGAAGAACAGGTCGCAGCGTTTTGGTTTGTACGACAATGAATTGTTTAATAAGCTGTAAAATAAGAAATGTCATGTCGTTTTTAATATTAATGGACGAGAAATGAATTTCATGTCGTTTTTATCTCTGAACGACAGGAAAATATTCAGCACAAAAATTCTTGTCGTTTCTTCGGCTAAAAGGACAACGGGCTTCTAAGACGTCAAAATGGCAACATTTTCAAACTACAAACGGCATGTGGTTTTGAAATCTAACAAAACTACAGACGACATGTGGTTTTGAAATCTAGCAAAACTACAAACGACATGTAGTTTTGAAATCTAGCAAAACTACAAACGACGTCCTTTTTTCTTTTCCTTCTATAATTACTAGGTTGTTGGGAATCACGATAGAATGCCTTCGATGTGTGTAATTATTGCATACTATAGTTTACAAGTGAAACTTATAATTGTCCACAATAGACATTGTTACTATTTTAGAGAGCATTCTAATTTTGTCAAATCAATGTGTACAAATAGACATACAGTCCTAATATAAGTAGATTCACAGCAAATATAATTACTTACGCTAAAGGGATTCATAAAAATAACTTTACAAATAAAATCAACGATCTTCCTCCTCGATTTCCTTCTAAAAACAAACAAATTACCATGCTTCATTCTTATTTGTCAATTAGCTCTCCTACTTATTTCACTGTCCATCCCTCCTGCCAAAGGCACCCTAAATGACAACAATTCTACTACAAACTCGTTTTTAAATCGAAAACATTTTTTAGCAGGAAAAATAATAATAGAACAAGGTTAATTCCACAAATGATCTCTAAATTTACCTTTAATTTCACTTTAATCCTTAATTTTTAAAACGTCTCACAATTAATCTTTAAAGTTTTATTTTGTTTTAATTTCAATCCTTCTTAGACATGTGTTAAATTTTAATAAAATTTGTAGATATTCAGGATCAAAATTGAAAACAATCCTTAAAAAAAAAAGTTAATTCACACATATAGTCTATAAATTTTTAAATGTTTCTAATTTTAGTTTTTAATTTATATAGATTTCATCAAATATTACACCTAACTAACAAAAGAATCGAAACTAGAATAAAGTAAAACATCAAGGACCAATTGTGAGACTTGAAAAATCAAAGACCAAAATAAAATTGGAGGACCTCAAAGACCATTTGTGGAATTAACCCTACTAACATTTGTAGAAAAAAATGCCTTTAGATGTAAAGATTAGATGGGGAAGAAAATCATTGAAAAATACACCGTTACTCGTTATTCATTATGCTTTTGCTTTTCCTTTCACAGTGCAACGAAATTTTTTTTTAAAGGATAGAGAGGATCTCATGAACAGAGACTTATAACAATGGATTAAAAACAAAAATAGCATCAACTACATAAACAGAAACAGGCTAGGTAACTACGACCTGATCATTTCAAACATATTTGACTAGACGATCAAAATCCAAGATAAAAACCATACTAACAATAAGATTCAAGTATCTGTCTAAAGTATCTCACAAAAAAGTGTCTAAACATTAGATTCTGAAATGCTAAAAACAAAATAATAATCCAAATGCCCAAAATTTAACAAACTTAGAAGAACCAACAAAACAGATAGCTTGCAATTGCAATTGATCTACACAATTGCATTGGCCGCACTGGCAATCCTAGGCCACAGGTCTGCGCACTCTTTC